TTTCTCCGATCACAAATGCAGACATGGTTTTATGTTTAGGCGTAAAAACACAGTATAAGTCATTATAATCAGTAATTATGTCCCCACTGGATGCAACAAATGTCTCATTTGTAATAGGTTTTATTGGTTTTGTCTCGTTGTGCTGGGAGACTGCATCGGTGACCGTGATTTCACCAAGTACAACATGTTCCTGGATCAACATCCTTGTTGATCCTGGAACAACATTCCAGTTAACCAATCAGAATTGAGGGATAACTTTTCAGGAAATATCTGTTTTAGGCTTACGATCAGGGTTAGGTGCTTCTACACCCTTGTTAATCAGCTATCATTTCACACTGATTTTAGGAATAAATTATGGGTAGGGATTGGGTTTAGTCTATATTTTTGGACAGTGATGTTGATCCAGGATCAACAAGAGATGTTGATTCAGGAACATGTCTTACTTGGCAAAATCATGGCGACCAGACTGCATCACAGTATGTTAAGGGGCGTAACATTTCCATCACACGCTTGAGGTATTCAGCCAATCACAACGCACTGGATAGCTGGCCAATCAGCGTACACCTCACTTTTCAGAACGATGAGCTTTGTAAAAATCAACGCGTTTCAAAAAGGCGGGGCATAGAGGAGCAACAATAATGTACATTATGTGGGAAATAATGTGTTTTTTTAACCTTAAACTGCATAAACACATTTCATTACACCAAATACACAACATAATGTTCTTTTTAGCAACGTCATATGACCCCTTTAATGTCTGAGTGCTCCTTCTGATTAGTCTGTGCTGATGTGCCGCAGATCTTCAGAGGCAGCTGTCGGGGACGGGGCTCTCAGGTGATTGGATCTCCTTCACAGCTACCTCAGAGATGAGCGTCAAGCAGGTGGCTGGGTTGCGGGAGGCGCAACGAGATAGTAGCTCCTGTCCACTACGTCTGCAAGGGCACAGGTAACCCCGCAGGTGCATGCGGACCTTGCTGTGCAGCGAGGCATAGATGAAGGGGTTGTAGCAGGCTGAGCTCATGGCTATCAGGTGGCAACTGACCTGCAGCACGTTGACGTAGCGCTTGTCCACGATCTGGAAGTCCGAGTCTAGATCCAGAAGGAGATTGAGGACTTGCATAGGGAGCCAACAGAGGGCAAAGGCGAGGACAGAGGCCACCAGAAGGGAGAAAGTCTTGCGCCGCTGCTTGCTCCAACGCTGCTGGCTATGGGATGGCTCTCCAGGCAATGTGTGTTTGCGGAGGTGAACACTGATGGCACAGTAAGAGATGCTTACAGACAGCAGGGGGATCATGTAGGATGCCAGCAAGAAGAAGCAGGAGTAGAGCAGGCGCTGTCGTTCGGCTCCCAGCCAGAATTCCTCGCATGCTACCAACTCCATGCCACTGGGTCGCAGGTCCACGTAGCGCGTGTGGAGGGAAGGAGGAGCGGCCAGGGCCAACGAAACTGCCCAGACACCCAATGCCACTGCGCCACAGCCCCACACTGAGATACGCCTCCGCACTGGGTATGCCACCACCACGTAACGGTCCATGGCGATGGCGGTGAGGGATAATACAGAGGCAAAGACTGTTGCACCTTGCAACAGAGGAATAAGGTGGCACATTGGACGGCCGAATGCCCAGCCGTGTGCATCAAAAGCATACGACGCTGTCAATGGCACACAGCTCAGGCACATCAGCAAGTCCCCAGCTGCTAGGTTGCCGATGAAGAAATTGGTGGCATTGTGGAGCTTCTTGTCCACCAGAATGCAGACAAGAAGGAAACTGTTCCCGACACCAGCAACAACAACGACCAAGGCGTAGAGTGGAATAAACAGAGGTTTGAAGCGCAAAAGCAGCTGGGTTCCTGAAAATTTATCCAGGGGGTCTGTCCGATTCGTAGCTCTGAGTGTTGCGTTAAAGCCCGCCAAAACTTGTTCCAGAAGAGGATCCATTTCAACCTGTGACAAAAACATTCATGAAAAACCAAGACAACCACCATGCCCACACAGGTACACACTCACTCAGCCATTAGAGATAAACTCAGTGTCAGATTGGCACATGGAAACGCTGTTGCCATGTTCTTGATGGAACCCCTTTTAAAGAGTCTTTCTCTTTCTGCCTTGATGAGACTTGAGCACCCTCTAAGCGCAAAGCAGAAAGGCTGCGTTTCACGGCTCCAATTAATTGCTGAAGCAGACTTTTTTTTTTTCTCAAGGTGAGTCATAAAGTCTAATTACAGTGTTATTATTTAGTATTATCTAGAAGAAAATCCTAAGGTATTTACCTTTATTTATAGTCACATTGTCTGTTAGAGGTAATTCACAAGGATCTACTAGTTATCAGGCCTTATGAATGGAGAAAAATGAGCATTTGATGACTCTATAATTACTTTCCTGAGTATATATCAAACTCCATTACATGATGTGTGATTACATTAATTCATGATTACAGTCACAATCATACCACGTGCTCAGCAAATATGAGTGGAATAGGCCAAAAAGTAATAATGATGGTAATGGATATCACATGTAAATGCAATTAACAACTTATAAATGCATTATCTAATAACAATACGTTTTGCATAAATTATGATGTGCACTAGGATACAGTGTGTTCTTAATATGCCACCTTTTTTTAATAGTGATAGAGATTAAGTATAAATGAAAACACTGTTATCAGTGTGTCATATTAGATATTATATCTGATGGTGCCATCAGCTGCCAGGAAATGTGTCAGACAGTGTGTGGTCAGGATGAGAAAAAAACAGACGCATTGAATTTTGAAGACTGATAAAATGTAAATTTGCATTAGTTAAGATTAAAACAATTGAATACAAACTTAATGAATTTGAATTAAAATTAATTATTTTTTCATAATAAAACAATGCAGCACTGAATCCACAATGTTTGTAAAAAATAAATTAAAAAGTGTTTTAAAAGCATTACAATTACAGCACAGTTTTGAAAAAGAACATGCAATGTAAATGACAAGCAAGTGCGTGTTTGTCAGAGAAAATGCAAAAGACACAGAAAGAGTACCTGCTGCACAAAAGCTTGATGTATAGCAAGGTTTGATGTTTGATGTCCCCTCAGTGTTCTTCCACAGTTGAGATATTATTATTATTCATCTCCAAATGTCCACATCCATAAATGAACCTCTATGCCCAGTTTTCCATGCAGTAGTGTGTATCTGATGTCATTTACCACTGTCTCACAGGAGGAGAGTGGTTAGTGAGGTGCAGACCACCAACCCAATGGTCTGTGGTGGAGGGGGTGCTGGGGGGCTGAGAGGGAATGAGTGAGCCAGAGAGAGAGAGAAAGAGAGAGGGAGAAGGGGGAGTGACTCTGTCTTCTGTCACAACCGCAGTAAGAAAACTGAAAAGAGACACAGTTCTCCTACTGAGACCAACCTCCTTTTTTCATTCACACTCTCTCTCTAGATTAAAATACACAGAGAGGCATATATTTCAGACATATTCTCTTGATAAAAAACTCAGTGTTTAATCTCTCTTTGAGATAATTTTTTCTCTTCCCCAGCTTGGTATCTGTGAGCAGCTGATAATTCTGGAAAAATCAGTTTGGTGATGCACATGGTTGGAACACTAATGCACACCACACAGAATAAACATACACAATATATAGATATGAAAACACAAACACACACACACACACACACACACACACACACATTGGTGGTTGTAGAATTCAGTGCTGCAGTTGAGTGTTTCTTCATATGGGCTTTTAGAAAATAAACACTTTTTTGTTGTGGTGAAAATCACGACACAACTTAGGGATGGCTAAATTTTATATAAAAATGTGTAATCAATGCATTCACCGCACTCTCCCAGCTAATTAAGTGTGAAGACCTATATATGTATGATCAAAAATGACAAAGAATGGTCTGCACCCTAAAAATATTTTATTAAGTTAAAGCAGGAGATTAAAAAAAAAATCAACAGCAGATGTTTAGCTATCTGCCTTCATCAGTGTAATAATTATTTGTTTCTCAGTGATTATATAGATAAGCGACAAACATCATGTGATCATAATCAATTAATCCACACAAATTGTAACACATTAGAGAGAGAGATCGAAATTCTCATTTAAACCCAAAGATGACATTGTCTGTAAATAAAACATCCAAAATGCTTTTTTACAATGTCTTTGTATGATTTTTTTTTTAATCAATATCTCCACATCAACAGGAAGTAATCACTCTTTCAATACTTATACATTTAAGTTATTCAATATCGTGATTAGAATCAATACAGTGTCTAGCAATTAGAGATCACTCACGTTGATTCTCAAAGATCTAGATGTTTTCCCCACATATAATGTGCATGGACATTAGAGTAAATATATCACATTTTTAGTAGAATATGTTATACAAGATTTGATATAATACACCTTTTTATGTGGAAAAACGTGGCGTTTTTACATTGTAGTAGAAAAACATGATGTAAAAATTTGACATGGAAAACAACAGTCTATATATGCTTTTTTTGACATCATGTACAACATCTCATCTAACTAGCATGTTCGCCACATTTTGAGATCTTTTGTGAGAGAACACTGGAGGATATTTGAAAAAAAAAATCTTTTAAGGAAGAATCTGAAGCTAAAATAAACCAAAATGTATGTAATAAAAATGTAATATATAAAAAGATTAATCTATAAGAATTTTTATAAATCAGTTTGAGACTAATCGTTTTGTTTATTTCCATTTCAGTCATTTTTTGGAAGTTTTTCATGTAACGTATATTTTATTTTATTTAAGATTCATTTGAATTAATGAAAATTATTTGTAATAGTTTTAATTTCAGTTGACAATAACTACACTGTTTAAGACATTCGATTTTAATTATATTACATATTACACAGATATTTAGATTTTGTTTGGCTGATCATAATTGCAAAGTTTTAAATAATTTATATTTTTCTAATACATTTTCATGCTAAGTCTTGGACAAGCTAAAACAATAGAACATATAGTATATCTAAAAAAAAAAACAAGAAAAGTCACTTAAAGCTGAAATAGTTGAAAAGTGTTAGTTTTAATCAAAATCAACCCCTGGGGCATGAAGCTAAAAAAAGCAATCAGCTGTGCAGCTAAATGTCACCCAACCATAATATCCTTCCATTCTGAACTTGCCATATAGCAGTAAGGTTAAAGCTATAGATTATTCCTCATATCTGTCAGTAGTACATTTATTGCCACTCATTAATTTGGGAAAAATCACTAGTTTTCCCAAGTTTCTCTCTCATATTTCCTAGACAACCACTTCGATCAACTTTTCATTCACTATTGTGGATGTTTTATCATTTTATTGTGATTCCCAGTGATTGAAAACAGCCCTCTTGCATTTTCCCAGCATGAGGACTACTGTATGTTCCTTACTAAATGCCCTTGCCCATTGGCAGAGGGTGAACCAACTCCAGGGTAAGGCTAAAAGCAGCCAAATGTATTAAACATCATAAACCCGTCTTTTTAGAACCAGACATGGGTGTCATGTAGGCTAAAAAAAATTTTTTTAATGGGACTGAATTTGTATTTAACGTGATTACAATTAATGAAGCATTAACACATGTTAGACTGCACCCCATAGGCGGAGGGTGAACCAAGTCCAGGAGGTTTTTAAGGCTAAAAGCAGCCAAATGTATTAAACATCATAAACCCGTCTTTTTAGAACCAGACATGGGTGTCATGTAGGCTAAAAAAAAATGTTTTAATGGGACTGAATTTGTATTTAACGTGATTACAATTGAATAAAAACGTTAGAAATTGATAATTATATAACGTTTCCTTTCCACGATTATTCAAACAGCGAATAAATTATATATAGAACATTACATTATCACTAGCATTGATCTATTGCGAGTTTAAGCACTCTTACATTGTATGTACATCTGCGCTTTGTTGTTTATGATGAGAGAATTCGCAAGAGTCTAAGCAGATCTTAATTTAATGCGACACTGTCTATTCATATTCACTTTGTTAGCAACAGACATAATATATTTAATTTATTTGTGCAGGGGCATTTTTGTCCAATTTAGTGCCATTTTTGCCCCAAGTCCTCGTGGCCTTACACACGCTCCACCTATGCCCTTGCCCACAACAAAAAAGAAAGCTGAATGTCAGACAAGTAATTCCTTCTATAAGCATCACTTCTAACAGTTAATCACCATTAGCTTTGCTATTTGCACCACAATGAGCAGGCAATCATTTGTACAACTCTGAATGAGAGTCATTCCGTTTTGAATCGTTTGTAGTAAGTGATTGGAATAGAGGAAACTTCTTATGGCATGATGTGATTAAATGGTCAGGAAGAAATAAAAGTTACAATAAAAATGAAAGTCTCTATATTGAGCAAATGCAACGTGAAATGTACTGATTATGTATACACTGAATTACACTAAAATGAAAAGTGATGTTTCAATCAATTCATGGAAGTTAAGTTTCTAAAATCATTGTTTGATGCAAAGACATTTAATTAACGGTAAATGCCCTCCCTCAAATCTCCCTCAAAGGACAGCTGACTTGGGTGTTTTCAATTTGGACAGTCAAACTGACACAGAGTGGATGTGTTTGGGGCTGGCATGAGACTAAACACAATCAATTACCATCTTGTTGATGTCCTGAGAAGGGTGAACTAAAAATGGCCCAAAAATAGGGCGAATAGAGTGAATTTGAAAGGTTAATTGCAATTGTGCCTGTCTAAGTAAATGTCTTGGCATAGCTAGTGTTCTGAATTTGACCGCGGGCAAAGCCTTTAGTGTAAGACAATCAACACTAATAATTTTACCCCTCGTGTCATGAGCATTTTGACCTCTTCAGTCACCCGACCCTTGTTCGACCCCAGCGACCGCTCTCATACTCTGAACATGTTGTCATGTGCGAGCTATTGCTTTTGCTTGACGAGGGGACGAAATAATAGGATAAAAGAAAGCTGAAG